CAAAATGGCAGCCACAAGTGCTGGTGGGTATACTTCTGCTTCGCGTGGAAGTCCACTCATCAGCTGCTGGTGCTCAGTGGTGCACTGACATAGTTTCTGAAGTCGAGCAGCGATGTGGTCGGAAGAGGTTGCAAACAAAGTGGACTTCTTGCTCAGGCGTTCACGAAGCTTCAAGCCAAAACGGCATAGGTGTGACTTCACCAAAAGCACTTCATCCCGGTCCAGGAACTTCTTCACTGAGGCTAACTCCCAACTGGTGGCTGTGTCAGGATGCTCATGTAGGCCATGATCTCGCCGATTCAACTGTTCCTGGAGCAATTCCATGGAGAAGTCAACATGTAGTTGTGCCTCCGGAAGTTCACGTTGGAGGCGTTCAGGATGAGGTCGCAAGTTCTGTGTGGCGCTGAACTTGGTACAGGGTGGTGACACCATCAGCAGGCGTGGTCGTCGTCGCCGGAGCTGATCTCGAATTTGCTGTCGGGCTTCAGGGTCACGAAGGTCGGTGCCGGTGGTGATGTCGACAGACATCTGTAGACTTCAGCCACCGCCTCATGGTTGATGCCCACGCTGCCATAGATCTCCGCCACATCGTCGGTCTCCTCGCGCCAGAGTGTCCAGTACGTGCCTTGCTCTACAAGCAAGTGGTCAAGGCTCTTGTTCAGCTCTGTCTTGAGGCCCTTTGTCAAGGTGAGTTCTCGCTCATACTCAGCATCAATCATCTAGTCGAGGAACTCATTATCGAACTCATAGAGGACGACGTAGGGCGTGGGAGCTTGTAGATGGTACACTTCGCCAGGAGTAGTGGTGCAACAAACGGCATTCCACAAGCCATCATCGCAGGTCAGGATGACCTTTCTGCTACAAATCGGCTGTGTCACCACTGGCGAGTGCCCATCCACACATTCACCGTATCCGACGGCTACATAGGTGTTGGAGTGAACAATGCCCAGGGAGTCCGCGATGTCATAGAAGCTCTGAGGCAATTGCACTTCTGGCGGAGGTGTGGTCATCCACCAACTGGAATTCAATGACGGACCAGCAGGTCCTCGTGGAAGCGTCCCATCCGGCCATATGCGTGGACGAGCTCGTGCTTGAACATTGCCATGTTGCAGTTGGGGTTCATGCACTGCCACTCCGCATCCTCCTCCTCCGGCGACTCCTGTGTCAGGATCATCTCGCGCGATTGGCGTTGAGGGCATAGGAAGATCCCTGTCGCCTCCTCGAGCTCCTGATGAAGTGTGATCCAGTAGAGGTCGCATCGAGGGTTCTCGCACTTCCAAACCAGATGGGAGGTTGTCTTGGGAGTGGACTGGGTCCGAGACTGACCGGCCGGGCTCTTTGTGAGGTTCGCCATGAAGGACTCCTTGGCCTCCTTGGTCTTGATCTTGATGTCCTTGAGCATGCCGTCCCAGGGAATCTCCTGGTAGAAGTCGCTCCTGATGTAGACCATCCTCTCGTTCCACATTTGCAGCTGGTCCAGGGTCGTCAACGGCATCTTTTGCTCCTGCAGGCACTTGTTGCACTTGGCCCAGGTGAGGTACTTGTTGGCTCCATGTTTTGTGTCCGGGTGAGTGCAATCCGGACTCGGTTCGAGCATTGGGACCAAGTACTTTCCACGTCCTCGGATGCAGGCCAGTGGGCGATGTCGATCTTCCCCACTGGAGATCTTGAGGGTACCCGTAGGTGTCGTTGAGCTCGCTGCAGCTTCTGCGGTGATCTTCTGCTTGGCTTGGTGTTCCAGGCTCTCCCTCTGCTGCTGCAAACGCCGAACTTGCCGAAGTTGAGGTGCACGGCAAACTTCCAGCATGCATTGATGGACCTGCAGGGAAACGTAGGTATACAGCCGCAGCAGTAAGCGCCGCCAGCGGGCCCACGAAAGGCATGGCTTGCCCATCCGGGAGCGAAAGCGTGGTCCAGTTGGGAATGGCCTCCAATGACCACGCTTGACTGCGACAAAATGCGTAGTCGGAGGGCACGTGGAAACCATGCTCACCAAAATCACAAACATCAATTGAAACATGTCCAGTGCTTTGCCGCGTCATCTTCAATGAAACTCCAATTCTCAAAAACATGATCGCGCAATTCTTCATGTCGATCACGGCTTCGAGGTCCGTCAGGAGTTCGGCGGGGAGCAACATGGGGATGTCACCAGGAACCACTTGAACCCTAAGTACACCACTCTTGCCACCGAGGCCGATGGGGATGTAGCAAATTCTGGTGGTTTCTTCTTGACCACAAACACCTCGGACTGACCCACCATGCTCATTGGTCCACTGAACGCGAATGCCAAAACGATCTTGTAGTAACCGATCATGTCTTTGGAGGGTGTTGGCACCAATGAGACCATGCTGGGCAGCCGTGTCAACCAATGCGACCCCTTCATTCGCGACCGCTCCATGAAACACGAATGACAAAGCAGTGAACCGCTCCATATATTGCTCGCAGTCTTGGTCGTCATTGGTGACGGTGAGAAACTGTCCGCTCCAGCTTGTTGCTGGGGGTACCATCAAGAAACCAGCCGTGGTGCCAGTGGCGGATGCACCAGGCTTCCCAGATGTGATTCTCTGGGGACATTCTTTGCTCCAATGTCCGATCTGCTTGCAGCGATGGCATCTCGTCTTGGACTTGATCTCGCTGAGACTGAGGCGAGATCCAGAGCGCTGTTGCCATGGTCGCTCATAGCCACGTCCATTTCTGGTGGCCTGGAGAAGCCTTCTGTGTTCAAGGTAGCCTCCACGTCCAAAGCTCGGGGTGTTCATGCCATAGGTCTTGGATGCACCCTTGAACTTGCCACCTTTTCCTTTCTTTCCTTTTCCTTTTCCACGGCCATGTTGATGATGAAGCCGCTGATGAGCCTCGTAGAAGATCTCTTCGAGGTTGTCGCAAACAGTCTCCACTGCCTCTTGCTCATCCAGGATCACGGGGAGCTCCTGGTGGTAGATCATCTGGGCTTCACTTCCATCCTCATTGAGGCATATCAGATCTTCGAAGAGGTCGATGTCGGGGATATCATCGTCCATGATCGCGTCCTCTTCATACTCATGCTCATAGCCGTCGTCGTCAAAGTAGGTGGCGCTTCTCCAGCGTCGCTGTTGGCCATATTGTTCATGTTGTTGGTCATCCAAACGATCACCAAACCCTTTCTGGATTGCAGTCTCGACCTCACGGAAGTCGATGCTGCCATTCGTGACCACTTTGAGGCGCTGCTTTTGGTCCTGGCTGAAACCACCCTGTCTAAGGATCAAATGACCCAAAAGGTGGCGGCCAGCTGCAGTGGCCAGAAGGTCAAGGCCCTGCTTACGAAGCTCTGCAAAGGCCGCTTTCTTGTTGGTCATGAACATGGTCAAACTCATGCCGCGGTCTCTCTTGCCTCTGAAGATGGCGTCCTCAAAGGCTTGTTCAAGGCGGTGGTCCTTCAAGTATTCATGGGCGCTCTCAATCATGGTCACAATCTGTCGATGGCCGGTGTCGGAGGTGATCTCATCGACTGTGAGGTGGGCTAACAGTGCACTCAATCGTGAACCCAAGGGGATGCTGTCGATGATTCTCTTTCCAATGAGGCCTGGCGGGAGCCGAGCCTCAGCCTCCACCAACCAAAGTTGAAGGTTCCTTTGATACTCCTTGCAGTTCTTTTCGGGATCGTCACCTCCCCAAACAGGTGCAGGGTCGATCTTGTAGTCGACATACTTCTTGTCAGCCTTGGGAGATGCTGCAGCCGCTTTAGGGGTTGCCGCTCGCCCAACTGGCGATCTCACAGGCGAAGTCGGCAACCTTGGTGGTGGCATAGCCATGGAGGCAGCTGCAGCACAAGGATCAGGTACATGAGGAGGTTCAGGATCGCTAGGATCAGGTAGATCAAAAGGGTCATCTTCTTCAGGATGTTGAGGTGCCGTCTGAGAAGCCGGCGGGGATGTCACCGGTGGACCCGAGGATGTAGGCCCGACGCCACCTCTCCAAAAGGCTCTCAAAGGTCGTTGAGCCATTCTGAGAAGGTCGAATTGCCAGGGTGATCTGGCAGATCAGCTGAAGGCGCCGGATCTCCGGCGAAGAAGGTGCCGTAGGCGAAGTCCAGGCAGTAGTTGCTCTGGTTAAGGAAAAACTCAACCACAAAGTCCGGTCTAAAGGCGAAATCGGGTGCAGCACCCGCCAAAGGATCCTCCGAGCGCAGCTCGTACAGGAAGGCGAAGTCAAAAGGTCCTCAGTGCCGGGGCGTCCCCCGGCGGCCAGAACCTGCGCTCGGAGCCACGGTCGTCACCGCGGCTCCGCTACCATGAAATACGACGCAAGCCGGACTCCTTTTCTATGAAAAGTAAGGCTCAAGGGCCCTGGTTGGGTTCGGGCCAGAGCGAAGACACAGCAGGTTCAAGGCAGGACATGAGGAGTGCGCGTTTGGTTTCACACTTGAATAATTGTCCTTCTTTTCCCAGCCTCCAATCTTCAATCTTCAATCCAGGAGGCTGGATTGAAGAAGCTTTTTCCTAGCCTTCAATCTTCGATTCTGGACTGAAGACTCGTTTGCAAACGTTTGCAAACGCCTTTGGAGACAATTTCCCTAAGTACACATGCCACCATCATAGCAATAAATCTATCTATCTATCTATCTATATGTTTTTGGCGTCCATTTAAACCTCAAAAAACAATTCCCCTACAAAAATATGTGGTAAAATGTCATTCACACACTGTAAATACAAGTAAAACAAACAAACATTAAACATGGTAGACTCTTATTTTTTTGGGGGCTTACCATATTAATATAGTTGACTTCTCCCGGAGAAGGATGCCAATCCACCTTCAACCTGGGGTTTATAAATAAGAGCACTCAAAAGTATTTGGCACCATTGGTGTAGCAAATTCTGATAGACGGCAACTTATCCTCAGAACTACACAAGTATTCGACAAAAACAAGAACATACAAAGCACGGCCAATACTTTCAATATACTTCAACTTCAATGCCCTGGACTTGTGGCCCAAGAACACGTAATGTGCGATCCAAAGATGCAATACGTAGACGTCGATGCTCGTCGCAATCACCACGAGGACATCGAACACCCCGAAAATGTCGCATAAAAACTGCAGCTTGTGCATGTAGAGGCGCCATGCAATTTCCAGGACGAATATCTAAGTTTGCCACACCAAAAATCAAGTTGTTGACACTGAACTGTAAGCTGTCAAGTGTAGATCGTGGTCAGCCCACATTGGGCTGCCGCAGAATGTAGCATGTCAGCAATTGTTGACGTGCCATGCCAACAAAGATTTCTTCATGAAGGCCGGTGGATCTTTACTTACAGCCATCATAGCCTCCTCAAGTTCAATTGCATCTTCAGTGAGGCCTGCATAAAAAGGGGCTATATAGAGCTATCAGTGTTGTTTTATGGAAATTGTGAGAGCACGTAAAGAACACCTTGGTTGTCTTGTGCAAATCCATCAAGCGAATCAAGAGTATCAAAACATGTTGACTCGCCAACTCGAGATTCATTGCCATTCTCCAAAATAAAAGTTATACCATCAACAGACTCTCCATGTTCTTGCAGCCGGATTTCTGCGTTGAAGATGTGATCGACTACAAAAAATGCCGTCTCCTCAAGGCCAAAAGCGGCTTAGTGGCGTGTGAACTGGTGATCAAACAACCAGAATATGTAGAAGTTCAAGGCAACTATTTCTGCACATACTGCGGTGACATGTTGCGGGAGAGGGCTGCATCTAGCAAACATCTCCAATTCACCCAAAAAATATCAAAAGGCATCAAAGCAATCTGGAGGTTCAATCCTGGATAAGTTGACATACGAATGTATAGCCCATATGCATCCATATGCCATATACCACTTGACTTGAATTAACTTTCTCATGATAGCCAATTGCTGCCAAAGCATCTGCTCCAGGCCAGTCTTGGAAGTTTGGATCATCGGGCAGAACATCATCCAGTCTTTGGACAGCCTCTAAGCCTCGCCAATGCGTCTGCAGCAAGAGGATGAACGTATACAGAACCTTGATGCAACGTGGCAGCCGCACAAAAAAGAACACACAAAGTATGAACACCAATCCTGCAGGAGAAACTCGTCAAGTCTCAAGCAAAAACCAGCCCACTTTTCCCTGTCTCACTGGACACACTAATTTACTAATTTATGCAGCTTTATGTGAGGCCAGTGGTGACTTCCTTCCTGACAAACCCATAACAATAGGTGACATGCTCATGACAAGAACTTCCAAGAAACGACGGACATTAAATTTACGTCCTCCACCGATGCAAACCTATTGATGTTGTCGCGCAACACATTGAACAAACAACAGGTAAAATAGACGCTCTTGTTTTGGAAGTGAGACACAGTAGTTTATCATTCCAAATGGGCAAAACATATGTCAGAAGTACCGGGCAAACCAACTAGGTGATTCTACATGTGGACCTTCTCCTGGATCTCCTATTGAACTCTGATAAAAAATATAAGACATTACTACAGGGGTGAAACATATGAAAACCAATGAACACAAACAACTACAGGACAAATAGATAAAATCAACAGGAAAACAACGGAGCTGGCCGACTTGTCGTCCTTGGAAGCTCAACACAAAAATATGCACCACAAAAACCATTAAACACTTCAAATCATTTTCAAGTTGTGCATTCCCATGCCCCGGAGGGGTCACAGGGGCAGCTAACTCCGACATAGCAAAGTTTGAAAGAATACGGAGCCCTATAGTGGATGGTTGAACATACATTTAGGGGCACTTGGCCCTCAAAGCGTCTGCGTTCAGCCCAGTACACACCGAACCTCACGCAACACCACCGCAGCGCGACACCATGTTGTGTGGCAGGCAAGGGCTGCGCATGGCCGAAAACAACACTTCGATTGTAATGCCCTATTATTTGTTATTTTGTAAATCATTGGTTCTGGAGCCAAGACAAAGGAACATACAGTACAAAAAAACAGAGAGAGATAGAGAGAGAGAGAGAGGGAGAGAGATGTAGGGGCAGAAAGAGAGGAGAGCGATAGAGAGGGGCAGTAAGAGGCCAGTAGAGACAGAGATATAATAGTATAAGAAAAGGACCGGATAACCCCACATATGAATCTTTACGAATCTGAAGGCTCTAAAGCACAAAGCCGTCAGAGGCTCAATAGCTTCTACAACACGGCCTTGTCAGGAAGTGATATCAGCTTCCGACAACAGAGGGGTGGGAGAGAAGGTGTAAGAGAGTGATGTGCACGACGGATGTACGAGGTATTGCGCACACAGGTGTGCGCAGCCACAACTAGCCAAAGTAAAATCCCATCGCTCTGCCGACGCAAAACCCCATAGTCAAACTCTTTTTCGTCGCGCAAATGAAATCAGGTCGTGGTGGTGAACCTGGGCGATGGCATGAGCACTACATTCAAAAGACATCATTCTAGGAACAAAATGGGCTGTAAAAGTGAAGACCAAAGACTTTGGATAACTTCGTTTGTCACTGTCAGCACATCATTCGCGCCTTGGAAAGACAGGAGAACTTCATGTACTGCCGTACCTGCACATGGCCGATCTTTCGATA